AGTCCTCGTGTATGTGGACCTAACGAGCCTCGCATAGCGTCTGCGCGTGAGGAGGAGAGGGCGTGCGAAGAGGGCGTGACCTTCTCAAGCGTGAGAGAGTGCGTGCGAGGAGGCGAGGGTGGAGTGCGAGTGCACGAGTGTGCGAGTGTGCATGTGCGTGTGTGTGCGCACATCGCAACGCAACGCAACGCAAAGGAGCGCAACGCGAAGGAGCGCAACGCAACGCAAAGAAGCGCAAGTATCGCACTTCCTCCTCCTCTCGCTGGCTCGTCTTATATTCGCTCGCGCTTCTTTCGTTCTCTCGCTCTCAAATTCGTCCAACGTGCAGCGAAGAAAGGGAAATTGCAAGGGCGTCGCAGGGAGGGCGCCAAAGGGGAGGGAAAGGATGCGGAAAGACCAAGAGGGCAGAAAGACGAAGAGGTGCTAAGACAAGAGGAACAAGCGCAGGAGAACCGTTTTGAGACGAGGCGAAGAGCGCTGCGAGAAGGAGAGTATGTCAGTGCGGGCGAAGCGGAGGAGGAGAAAGTGAAGGAACGCACCGTGCGACGCTCAAGGTGCCCGCGCTCAGAAGTCGTCGACGCCGTCCGAGGTGCCCTCCGGAACCGCAGCGCCGAGCGAAGCGCCGCCGTCAAGTCCGGCGCCCTCGAATCCGTCGGTGAACGATCCAGCGTCGAAGGCTCCGCCCTCCAGTCCGCCGAGCTGACGAGCGACGAGACCGATGTGCGTGCCCTTGACGGTGCCGGTGGTCTGCTTGGCGCGGTAAGCCTTGTAGCAGAACTCCTCGTAGTAGAACTCCTGCGAGTTGACGTCCTTCTTGATACCGTCGGCGAGGAAGACGTTCGCGTGCTTGGCGTCCTGGAGGGCGACCTCCTTGGCGTAGCGGACGTGGAAGGCGGCTGCGAAGGGGGGCAGGCGGAGAGAGTCAGCAAGCGGTAGCGCGAGCGGCGAAAGGCGGGAAGAACGAGGCGAGAACGAGCGGAACAAGGGACGGAGGGAGGGATCGGGGGGAAACGAGGAGGACGAAAGGAAGGGAGGAACGGAGAAAAAGCGGGCACGCACAGACTTCGGCGTAAAGGTTGCGGTAGCAGATCTCCTTGAGCGAGACAGCAGCCTCGGCGACAGCGCCGGCCGAAGTCGAAGCGCCGATGAAGCCTGCGAGCGAGGCAAGACAAGAGTGAGTGAGAGCGGGAAGCGGGACGAGAGAAAGGGAACGCACCGCCTCCGAGGTTGGCGCCATAGCCTGCGAGAAAAACGTGGCTCAAGTCAGCGTGGGGAGAAGGAAGGAAGGAGAGCAGACGAGACGCACCTCCGCCGTAGCCGCCGTAGCCACCGCCGAGACCTTTGCCGCCGACGAGGCCCTTGCCGCCGTAGCCTGCGAGGAAGAGGAGTGTCAATACGAGCGGAAGAGAGTGAGAGTGTGAGAGCGAACGCACCTCCGCCGTAGCCACCGACGAGTCCACCGTCAGCCGTCGGAGCGGCGAGAGCAGTCGAGGCGATAGCAGCGAGGATGAGAGTCTTGGTGAACATGTTGGTGATGTCGAAGGAGGGCGGCTGAGGGTAGTCGAGGAGCGGAGAGGGCGAGGAGTGCGGTGAGGAGGAGACGGAGGGAAGAGGAGCGAGCCGCTTTTG